AAAAAAAAAAAAAAACAAAAAAACACCACCACTCAGGAAAGTTTATGGAATGAGTCTGTTTTGTTTCATTTGATTATCATTAGGTGAAAATAGATGTGCCTTAGAATCGATCAGGTATTTTTCTCAAAATTACTGGCTGATCTGGTAGAATTTGACGACTTGGAAACAATGTAGAAACAAATGTTTTTGATGAGACTCTTACTGAGAAATTTGCTTTGCTACAGGGGTCCTGCTAAGCCCCTGTACCTCAAGATAGTGCCCTGATGCTGTCCCCTCTTAGGAACTTACTCTGTTCAGCATTTAGTGTGTTATATACCAGTCAGTAGAAAAATTCTGACAAGAATTGAAGAAATTAGTCTTTTTTAGCTTTGCTTTCTCTTTTCATCTGTTCTGGCACCTGTTTCTCAGTGACAGGGAATTTTATGACAACTCCATGCGATTATTGCAGGTTTGAATGAACCTGTTTCTCCCACAGTGTAGTTGCTCAGTGGATCCCCCTATCCTTTCATTTAAGGACATCCTTTTCTTTCCTCTCTTCTGAAAAATAATCTTAGGAGTGCGGTCAGCTAGTAGGGTAGGAAGAGCAGACTTTTCAGGTGCTTCGTTTCTCATAGTGAATAGCATCTTGACTGTAAGGCTTTTCAATACAGAAAACATAAATGTTGCACTAATTGTTAGAGACTCAAGATCCATTTTGGAAGCGTCAGCTAAACTCAGCAAGGTTTCTTCACTCCGTCCTATTCTTCCCAAGAAAATTTTGCCATATGAAGACATTTGAACTGGAATGAAAACTTTGACTGTTGCCTGTAACTCTAGCTATACTAGTCTAAATTTGCAGAAACACGTCAAGAAACGTTTAACTGTCTGCGCTATTTGAGCCATGTGGGACATTTGTTTCTCACATCATAGGTGTTGTGCTTCACTGCAGATTGGACTTTCAAGAGAATTAATGAGAATTCTTAGTCATCTCTGAGGATAAAAGGCCATAGTGCTGAATGCATTGCCCAGTAGCCTGCTGTGCCCTTTTATTGCAGCAAATATAAGGAGGCAACTTTTTCAATTTACCATCACTGTTTTCTAAATCAGCAAAGTAGTGCTATGCCAGATGACTTGTTTAATGGTTATGTAAAAATTATCTTCCTAGATTGTGCTGTATTGTAATCTGAGAACTGATGCAGTTGTTCAGTAGCAGGAGAACTATGAGTGGGGAGAGATCTGTGGTGGTAGGCTGGAAGTACTTTTTTAAACATTCTTAACATATTTGCCAAGCATACATGCTGAATAAATAAATAAATTTATGTATGCATATATATTCAGAAGACATGAAATACATCATCTATATATAAAATACAGTCTCAGCAGTCATTATCATGTTCATCAGATACTTGTGTTGAATATTGATTTGTTTCTGTAACTTCGATGGGACTTAGGCATCATTGCATTGAGATTCAGGTTGTTAGCTTTTGTGACAAGGTACAGTGGCATTAAGGAATCTGTGAATTGATACTCATTGTCTGACCCAAATTCTCAAAGGTGCTAAAATATCAGTGGCGACTGGATACCTAGGACCATTGAGTATCTGCACTGTAGGGTTTCTTCTTGATTAATCTCTAGTATATGACTGTTTTACCTTGTACAAAATTCCCTTCAGTTTTTAACTTTTATGTGCTTTGTGAAATGTGTAAGTAGAACTGTACTGAGAATTGCTAAGAGAGTTCGAACAGCGACATAGTTGAAGATCAGGATCTATGTTAGGGCAGCATGAGTGTTAATGGAGGAGGTGAAGGAACGCATCTGCGCTGAGTTATAAGATAGGGATGTGCATCATGGGAATGGTTTCTTGGTAAAGCTCTGCCTCACAACATTTGTGGTAATCATTATGCTTTGCTGGAGAGAAAAGTGTAAAGATAAATTTGTGATCCCCGATGTTTAAAAATCATCTGTTAAATAGAAAAGCAATTTTTAAAAAATTATAGGTACTATGTTCAATACATTCTAGATATCGATAAGGGAGTAAAATTTTATTATTAGTGTATGTTATAAATATAGAGATGCTAAGTAACCTTAATTGCCTAGTTTATATTCATCTATAGAGGGTGGGGTGGGGGTTTTTTTTGGCAAAAAGATTTAAAAAAACATTGAGACAATACTACTAATTTACTCTTGCTAGCTTTTTTTTTTTAAATCTAGACTTTTGAAGGGCCTGTTAAACTTCCAAATTAATGTATTTACTTTTGTGAACTAAGTTGGTCTGCTTTTCAGGTTGAATAATGGAAGCATGGCTCTTATTGTTGTACAAAATACTTCTCGAACAGATTTCATAAAACATCTGAAAAGATACGCCAGCGTAAAAAATCAGGTACTGTTGATTATAAAAAGAACAGTTAATCGTGAAGGTAGACATGCTGTAAGAGTTAATGTTAGCATCCTCATAAGGAGACTTAGCTTCCTGTCAGAATACATTAGCCCCTTTTTTTATCTGATTTTTTTTTTTTTAAATCACTAGACTAATACCGATTAGCCTATTTCAGCCCATCTGTTGTGGTTTAAATTGTATTTGTGTTGTACCATAGTTTTATGGGTGTAAAGCCCTTTCACCACAATAAAGGAAATGCATGCTGTGTTTAAATTTTGTGTACTGCACAGATCAAGAACACAGACTGGGGGGGCATCATGCAACTCTTTGTAAGAAATAGGTAAAGTCCATAATTTCAGCAGGTCACTGCATGCTGTGCTGGTAGCAGTGGATTATGACCATTGATTTTTAGCAGGATGCATTCCATCCAGTTACGAATGTTTGCAGAACTGTATTTCCAAATTTTGGTCATTATTCTGTCTTTGAAGAGAAAAATGAAGCATCCAAACACAGTGCCTTATTGTCCTAAATACCCGATGCATAGCCTAAGCGTACTGGTACTCATTGAAATGTTTCAGCATTATGTGAAATCACTTTTACAAGAAGGTTTATGTGTGAATTAGATAACCGTTCAATGGTCAGAGAGTTTGAGGGAGAGGTGGATGGCAGTTCTGTGTAACAGTTGCTGCATTTAGGAGAGAGATAGTTTCTGCTTTCCAGTTATGCTTTTGGAGGAAGGCTTTGCTTTTCTCTCTGCCTTTGTAGTTAGAAATTACATGAGGAGGTATGGACTCTCCTTTAAAAAGGTGACCATTTACTGGAATTCTAACTAGCCTCATTTAGGACAGGATTACTGGTAATGATGAACAGAGCACAGGAAGAAATCTGCTTGGACTTTCACATATTCTGAAAGCATGTGCCATTTTGGCATGTGCAAAATATACCCTCATCTGTAAACTGAGCAAATCTGATATGGGAATGCAAACGGAACACTACCATTTTTTCTGAGGCACTATTTAGGATAAAAATAGCATGTTAATCTATAAATGCTAGCTGGAATATATAATGCCTCATGTGGTCAAAGCTAGAGTTAAGTGTTCCCATTTACTTTAGACGAAAAAAAAAAAGCAAGCTTTTTAATTTCAAGTAATCCAGTTTGTTGCTAAGCTACCACCTACATCTTTCATCTTCATTTAATATATATCTGTGTTTGGTTTAGTTCAATTTTCCCTTTGTTGAGACCTACACAGTTCAAGAAGTAAAAGTACAACCAAGGCTTAAAAATGGGCTTGAAGCCAAGGAAAATACATATTTGAATGCTGCTTCTGCAGAAGGAAATTACCCTTGGAATATAGATGGAGACTTAATGAAAGAAGCATCAGAAGTTCATGTTCGGTAAGACTAAGTATTATGTTTATGGACTGTATATCTGTAACAGATTAGTACCGCAATCTTAAATGTACATAACACAGATGACACCAAAACTGGGTTTTGTAAATACTGTGAGAACAGTACTTCTGCGTGCTTCTGCGTGCTGCAGTCTGGCCCCTTTGCCATTGTTTGGGCCTCTGCCCTGTTGCCTTGTGCCCATCTTTGGAAAAGTTTGTTATGACCGACTTGGCCTTTCCTTTCTGGTGCTTCGTCAGCTCCCAGCTCCACTTCTCTCCTTTCTGCCTGTTACTTTACCTTTCTGTTACTTAGAGGAGAATGGAAGTATATAAAGGTCTGTGACTCCTGGGAGGAGCTCCTTTTGGGATAAGGATTCCTGCTTGGAAAGCAGTGTGTGTAACCTTAATAAAACCACGTAGTTGTTCAATTGTGGGAAACTTCGTGCTGCTTGAGAATAGTCTCCGTATCCAGGATCAAAGAAAGAGACTATGAAACAGGAAGGGAAACAGGAGGATTATCAGTGGAATTAAATGGGCTGTGGCTCATTCTTCTGCAATGCGCACAGGATTAGTTGAAGGCACAGAACTCAAGAGTCTAACAGTCTGGCATGTAAAGTAAAAGGCAGATCATGTTATAGGATATATAATACATACTTCTAAAGATGATCTTATAGGAATTGTCAAAATGTAATTCACCTGATTTTATTCCATATAGCAGTTCATACATGTTTGTTCTCCCCACCCCCAACCCCCCAAAGTGGCACACCCATTGCACGAGTTAATGAAATTGATAAAGTTTGACTTCCTCACTTCACAGGGTGCATCCTCAACTTATTAATCTCTACGGAGTGAACACTGATGACCTGGAGAGTTCCCACGCAACATGCAATTGCATATAGAAGGGACACACTGCAAGTTCTGTATTAAAGAATCCTTTTCTCACCCCTGTGCACAGCTTTCCAAGGTCCCAGTCTTTCACTCACTGAATCCAGTTGTTGTAGCAGAAGCTTAACTGGGATGTTTGTAGTATTTCTGGTTTTAAATTTTTATCAAGTTCTATATTTTTATCAGGTTGTATTTAACTGCAAAGAAACTGTTAGGCTTTACAAGAAAAAATGAAAACTGATTATACTGGTCTCTTATAGAAGTGTCTGTCAGAACAGAAGAAAATTTTTTTTTTTCTTTAAAATTATTCTAGCTTTTGCAATAAATATAATGTGAGATACTTTTAAGTCTGCTGCTGCCACCCGTGTTGTCAGGTAACTCAGTTCAAATACAGCTGGTGAGTGGAGGTATGGTACCACCTCATGCTGAAGGATGGTGGCAAAATATAGATTTATTTTTTTATTTTTTAAATCAAGTTCTTTCAATTCTAGGCATCATTTTTAATGTTGCCTTAATGCATTTGCTTTCAAATTGTTTCTAGTCAAACAGTAATACAAAAGAATATGCTGTTGATTTATACGACTTTTCTTTGTTGAAATGTATTTTAAAGACTACTCTTTGTACAAAATAAGTATTTAAAAATATTTTATCTATCCTAGAACTGAAATGATATTTAGCATAGTTTTTGTTGTTGCTGAGAATAAAGTTATGATAAATAACTTAAGAGTTGACTTAAATTTTTATAACTTCCTTATAGGGCATAAACATAATTTTTATGAGTGTTTGTGTTTTTTCTAACTTATTAAATATTTAGTACAATTATTTGGGATGACAGCAAATTAAGACTATATTCTTTCTGGGAACTGGCTTTCTTTGAAATGATGAAAAGTAACAGACCGGTAAGTTTGTCTGTCTGCAGGACCATGGGGATAATGAATGTTTTCCTGTTCACTTGTCTGAATCTTTCAGAAGCGGCTGACAATGGTACGAAAGCTGCATTGTCTTGTGGCTAGAATGAGTTCCTTTAAGTTCTTTCTTCATTGAGCAGTCCAGTATAATGTGAAATCCAGTCACTTATGATTTTGTTAAATCAAGGCCCTAAGCCTTTACATGGGATCTACAGCTACTGTATTTTATTTGATTTTAAATACTACTTGTGAAAAATTTTTACCTGTGATAAATATGCAAGACAAAAGTACTGCACCTGAAGTACTGCAGATGATTATTTGTCTCCTAAGAACAAGCTGTTACTTGTTGGAAATCTCATGCAGTTTCTACGGGCAAACCTGGCCAAATCCATAGACAATCAAATGCCTGCTTCGAAGGCAATGATGATAGGAAGCTTATAGCTAGTTCTGCTCTTTGCACTGGAGTTAGCGGTTACAGAGTAGGATCAGCGTCACAGCATCCTTTGGGCTGGACGGGGCCCCGTCAGGGCTCTAGCCCAACCTCCTGCTTAGAGCAGGTCCAGCATGAGATCAGATCTGGTTGCTCAGGGATTCATCCAGTCCGGTGTCGAAACCTCCAAGGATGGAGATGACACAACCTCTCTGGGAGTTCCGATGCCTGGCTGTCCTCATTTTGTTTTTCCTCATGTTTTTCCTCATGTGCCGTTGGAACCTCTCATTTTAGTTTATACCCGTTGTCCGAGTCGCAGTGATACTCTCCAGTTAAACTACTATAATTGATACTATATCACATCAAATATTTTTAACATGTTAAGACAACTCAAACTAAACGTCCTGAAGTTGTCTAAGAAGAAGATTCCAGCTACATTTAGTAGATTTAACTGGTTTTATTACATAACTGAAAATTAACAAAATAATCGAACTTGCAGAAAAAACAGCATTCATGTGCTTAACTTGTTGGGGTTCTTTTTCTAATAAAATGAAATTGTGTGACACTTTATAACCTTGCTACCATCAGGACATTGTACATTCATTTTTTTGTCAACCAGGTTTATAAAAGCTAATTGAATTTTGCTTCATATCCTAAGAACAGGCACCAACATTTACATGTTAATAATAAAATCTGAATAGGAAGTATACACATTCCAAGGCAACATTACCACCTTTACTGACTTATGTAAACCATTTCAGAGACAAATAAAATGCTTTAGTTTCACTTCTTTGCATTGTTTGAACTAAAAAGAATGTTAATGCTTCTTCCAGTATTTGAGGTATATTTTTCACAATATGCTGTAATATCAAACTAATTTCTGTTCAAAGATATTTTGGTTAAAGTGCAAAAAAATCACTAAAGCCATTTGGAAGATAAGCATTTTGTGTATATTTTCATAGACTTGCAAGAAAATATTTCATTCTTCACATATTTTATTTTGATTTTTTTTAAAAAATATCTACACATTCATTTGTCCTTACACTGCAGAGGATTTGAGAGAAAATTTACTTTAGAGTGATCCACATCTTTGGCATCAAATGAAGTAAAAGGAAATTACAAAATGGTCCCCAATACCTTTAGAATCTGTGGACAATGTGGCTTTTATGGCACCGAACACTGCATTAGCAAAAGTGCTTGTTGAAGGCACGCTGTATCGCTTTTGAGTCTCAGGCTAATTCCCGTGTGATGGTGCAGCTTCAAGTGTATGTACATATTACATTCATTTCTCCTTGCAGTTCAGAAGGACATCAAAGGCGTGGCAAGAAAGGCCATACGGCATACTGCTGTTGCAATAAATTCAGCTATTGAAGAAGCTGTACATTCTCCAGTTGTACTGGGGAGCAAAGTAACAGGTTTTTTTCCCCTGGATTGTACTATTTCACCAAAGCTAGGTGGCAGTGCAAACTTATCTAGCTGAAGAAACTTCCTGTAGTAGCAGAGCAGTGGTTTGAACTATGCTTCTATTCAGTCATTTGCCCTTCTGCTGAGTGGCTTCTGAGGATGCCTGTTTGGATAGTATTTATCTGAAAACTTCACGGGAACCCAAGCTAGCTCTCCAAATGACTTCCTTATTAAGTAATTTCAGGTAAAGTGGCACATCTAAAGATAAAATTTGGCCCAGTAAGGTTGGCATTTGGAGTCTTTTGGGTATGTTTCCCTGTTTTGTCATCATGGGAAGTCGTTTTTTTTTTTTAGGTCCTGGAAGAATGCCAGTACTAAATACTACTATGCTAAGTACTATAGAAAAATCTTCAAATAAATAAAAATAAATACTTGCTTTAAAAAACCCCACATAGAAATATTTAATTGGAGAAGTCCAAAACATCATGGCAGCGATATCTGAGGAAAGGATGAAACAACTAATTCTGTAATGCTTGCAGGCACCATGTTAAAGATGGCTACAAATTATGATCTCCAATACATTGCTCTTTCTACAGCGGAGAGAGGACTCTTCTGCTGCATCTCCAGGCTATCCCACAGAATTCCCTGCTCTGAATCCACCTTTGACCTTCCTGGTTCTGGCTTGCCTGGGTGTCTAAGTCTCTGCAGTGTTGTGGCTGTGCCTGTGAAGCCAAAGCTTACGAGGTTACCTTCAGAAGCCCAAGAGAGCTTCCGATAGCTGTTTTCTACATCTGTGTGCTCTACTTACGGTCCTTCTATTGGTTTAAGCTAATTTACACTTGTAAAACTGCCAAATCAACATGAGGGAGGATTTCTTCTTGAATGTCTAATCAAGAGATTACTGAAACTTGAAAATGAATAGAATAACTCACGCTAATGTTTTTGAGATCTTATTTTCCAGGATTGGCCAAACGTTGTATTTTCTAGAAATTCTTCTTTCTGGTAAGTAATTCTTCTCTTTATCTTTAGTGTTTTTCTGGCTGCTTGAAACCAGATATATATATATATATGGCATTTCAAATATTATTGTGAGACTTCAAAACAAAAACTGTTTTACCCTTTTCATATTAGAAAAACAACAGTACTCTAAGGTGTAGTCCTCCATACAGTTCAAGGAAATAAAGTGTATTTTGTAAGAGCAAGTGAGCTCAAGACCAGTTTTCTTGTCCCTGACGTTTCTCCTGTGAATTAACGTGAATCTTAAATTCTTCAATTTAAAATCAAATGTTTATTTGCCATCTTAGTCATCTTTGTTCCCACTTGTAAAACTCCAGCTGTCTCTTCTGTTCTTGTCTTGGGGGACTGGTTTGTATTGCCTTTTGAAAAAGCCAATCTGAAATACATAATTTTGGAATCTGTTGTCAGCAAATCTTTGTTATCAAATCTAAGACATAAAAGATGAACTAAAATAAAATGCATTTATATGGTGTTTATGAACTATGGTATTTGCCATTGCTTTGTCATACCAAGTAATCAAGTGTTACTCATCAATCAAAAAAGTGGGTTCGCTTTTTCTTTTACTTTTTGGGAGGCTAATACTCTCCCTGCAAGGACTAAGGACATGTGGGCTTGTGAACTATAACAGTCCACAGAATCCAGTATTTTTTAAAATGTGAAATGGTAATAAAACTTTCCTGTTAAATTTGTTTCATTTCTACACTTCCCTGGGACAAATGATGGACGGAGAAAGTTTGCATGTAGGTAAAGAAGTTAACAATCTCTTAATCGCTTGTCAGAGAAGCTGCTTCCTTCATAGTTTTCTTCTTTACTTATGCACAGGATTTTTTTTAGCATTTATGTTGCAGTTTAAAATCTTAAACATTTTATTCTGGCATGAAACTATGTTGTAGACTATCAGTCATCATGTGTAAAGTGACATTAAATGTGGAGCACCATCCCACAAAAACGATCCATTCGATATCCTTAAATTATATAAATCATTTGCAAACATGTGATGCCTTATAAAACATGGGAAGGGGTTTGTGGTGTTGAATAACAGAAGATGTAGAATACACAGAAGGTAAAATGAAGGAAAATGGAGAAGTATTTTGAAAAAACACAAGTTACAGGAGGAATTATGTTTCTTTAGAAAGGATAGGTCATAATGAAGTGTTAGTTATTCTTTAACCTGGATTAACAGATCCAAAGATCCACCAACAGTGTGAATTCCTGACTTGAGAACAACTGAAAAATACTGAAAACCTACCTTCCATAATATAAATGAAAGAAGCAAAAACAAGGTAACACCAACTATTAAGCCTATTCCAATAATTAGCATAGTAACACGGTATTTTGGCTTCTGGTGGTGCACTCCTTCCAAATAGACCTGGAAAGCAGAAAATAAGTTTAGTGCTAACTGATTTTTTTTTTTTTTTGCTAAAACAAACTAGGAATTAATTACATTCTTAAGTAATTAACACTATATTCTTTGCCTGTGTATAGATATGTATAGAATTTCACAATTTTAATTGCTGTTGTTTTTTCTACTTTAACAAGTTTATCACAAATTCATTAAGAGAATTCTTACATATGCAACTTGCTTGTCCTTGTGTAGTTCAATAACTTTCGCATTTTTTTCTGGGGAGGCTATTGCTCTTACTTCAAACTTCAATGCTGATGCATCATCCTGATTAAAAAAAAAAATCCTGTCTTTTAAAAAATAACTTCAACACATTAATTCCTATCCAGCAAAAATGGTAACACAGCTGCTCACAGAAACAGAATCTCACACAAACACACAATGGTGCCTTTTTCTGATCACAAAACAAATTAGTACCAGAAGCTGGAATGAAGCCCAGATGGATTTTACTTAAGTCCACATCCATGCTGCTTTTCTTAGAAAAGTACAATTATGAGTTGAAATTAAATCCCAGTCCTACCCAACCCAGCCAGAATAGGCAAAGCAATACATACTATAAAATAAAGCGATAATCTAAAATACCTATTTTTCAGTGGTTTTCATTTTTCCTATCACCTTGAGACTTAGCATGGAAAACAAAATAGGTAACACCTAAAACATGTGGATTTAATTGGACTGTTTGCAAAGATATATTAATACCTAGAATTTATATGCAGAGAATACTGCAAATACACCTTGAAATATTCCCAAGCATGAAAAATTCATGTGTTACCATTTCTAAAAGTGAAGGAGTAGCCTCCAGATGCAACTGAACGGTTGCTTCTTTTCCACTTTCCATGTTTCCAAGCTTGCAATATATTTGTAAGCAAAGGCTGTCATTTTTCATGCAGTACTGTAGAAGGGAAGGGAAGATTAAAACTTATGTTTATCAACTTTATCATCTTAGTATTAAAGACACTCGGGAACTGAGTAAAACAAAAAGATCCATGTTTGTTTTTGCAAAGTCAGGGTGTAACTCTAGGTTTAGTCATCCATCACTGTCAGTCCATAGGTGCTAAAGGAACAGTACAAGGGACCAACCTAATTGTTATAGAAGACAATAGGTCATTTTTCCTAAAAATTCAAATTTTTTTAGACTGAAAAATAACAATTATCATAATTTAGTTATATGGGGATTTTTTACACTGTTATTTCAAATTAGCTTTTATCAAGAATGATAAATGACAATGACTATATGATATCCAGTATAATTGATTGATCCTTACACTTGTACACTGACTTGTACGCTAGCACCATTTCACTCAGCTTTGGAGAAGACAAAAAAACAAGCCTGCACATGATTATATTCTTTGGCCAAGACTGCAATGCCTAAGTTGTGATTTGATATTCTAGTGCAGGCTGTCTCTCAATTGTTGGTTAATGTTCCGTGTCATGTGCTTACTTAAAGTCCCAAATTAACGTATTTAAAAATGTCCAGCTTCTTTTAAGATGAAAGTATTAAACAAAATTGTACTTTATCAAACGGAAGTTGCAGGACACGGAGATTTCTGTGAGAAGAAACCCTCAAAAAATGTAACACTAGAACAACAATTCTGGTTTGGACTACATAGTCAAGTATCTGATCTCCAGCAGGGTCCATAAGCAGGTACAGAGGGACGAGCTTGAATAGGCAAGGCACGTACGATATTCTCCCAGCCTCCGAAATAGTTTTAATAAGAACTTCCGAGCCAAAAATTATTTCCATATATTTTGTAATTCTTAACGACTTTCAGTCCCATTAACTTGTATAGTGCCCCTTGGAATTCACTTATTTTTAGCATTCATAACACCCTGCAGTAAGAAGTTCCAACATGAGTACTACTTTTGTTTTTTTTTTTTTTTAACCTGGCTCCTATTAGTTACATTTGATGGCACTTTTTTGATATGGAAAAGGCAATAAATATTTGATGTGCATACTTCATGTAATTAAAATTAAGACTGTTTTTCCCACATGCATCATTTTTGATTTGTTACTGAATTTCATCTGCCATTCTGTTTGCCCACTCATCCAGTTACATAACCCTTTGGCGGTTCTTCGTAGGTGACTGTCATCCACACTGACTTCAGTGACCTGTCATTAATCAACTTTCTCCTCTCAGTTCTCACCTCTTTCACTAAAGTCACTTATGACTACGCTGAACTTATCACAGACCCCACCACAAATCCTTGGAAGACCACTCTGGTGACCTCAATATATAAGATATACCATTGTCTTAAGGCTCATTCATACAGTCATTTATTTCCCACTGATGCCAAAAGACAGACCTTACCATTTGTCTCTTAGCAGGCTTTGAAAAGAAAGTGACAACATCCTTTAATATGTTTTCATTTTTTTCTGCTGCATTACAGTTTCTGGGGTATTTATTATAGGAGCACTGTCCAACTGTTGTCTGGAAATAAAAGTAACATCATCACTGTCAGAATTTAAACATCAGATAATAATCAGAATACAGATTTCTGAAAGGCAAGAAGCTCAAAAGGAATGTAAATTTTACTTTCAGAATTCTGAAACACATGGGGCTGAAGATCATCCTATTCTTGTTCAGTCTGCTTCACCATAGCTAACAAATTGAACACATACTTAGTACCTAGTTCTGCTATGCTCTGCTTCATAGAATTCATATAGCTAATAAAATTATTTTACATAACCTGTGCTTACCTTGATATCCAATGTGTTGAATAATTTGAAGTCATTGGGTGGAAAAGCATTAGGTATCGTTATCTCTAAGTTTGTATTTGGAGCCATGCTTGGTCCTGCACTGATAACCTTGTGGGGAAGAATGTTATACCTTTAAAGCTTGAATTCATGGTAGCTATTCAAGTAACAAAAATATATATATAAAGTATAAATACATAAAACTTCACAGAATGGGGTAGCACCTGCATTGTTACGCTGTCATGAAAGTGGATTCTGCTAGGAGTTGTAACATTTTGCTTAACTCATGCTGCAGGCTTACTGAACCCTTCACTTCTCTGAACCCAATGAGTAAGTAGTGCTAATCTGCGATGACTACCCTCAGGTCATACAGACTGCCTTCCGGGAGAACGTGCAAAAGGAACTAGGAGAGATTAATGTCCAACTCCTGCTTTTAATCCATTGGAGACAAATCTGATACCTATAGATGCTCTTATAAGGAGCTCCTAGTTCCTTTTGCTTACCGTAAGATAATTCCTTTTAAAGTGTTTCTTTTTTTTTTCCGCTCTACCACTTTCAATCCTGCTTGTGCTAAGTATTTTTTTTCTGACCATTCAGTGGAAGATTGTCCAGGCCAAAAGAAGTGTTCAAAGAGGGATTAACAGCCACTTCCCATCACGAATGCATAAAGTTGCTCACCACGCCCTTGTACTCAAAGTTCCCTTCTTGGCTGTGCAGACTATCATTAGATACACTGGAAATCTAAGCATTAACCTTCAAAACAAGGATAATAGGGTTTACAAAGAAAAACTCTTACATGAAAAGTGAAGTTGATATTCTCCTTCATACACGTAACTGGTGAATCTTTCTCATTTGTTCCATAAACAAATGAAGCTGGTGATACAAATCTACAATGGTTTAGAAGTTGTTAATTAATAGAATTGCTATATATTATTAGCATAACTTTTTGCTCCATGCTATCTCCAGTAAGATTGGTTCTAAGAAAATACCTGAGTTTGCGTTTAAGTAAATCTAGGAACCCTGAGTAGAAGTCCTCTTACCTTTGTACTCGTTCCTCTTAAAAAGGCAGATGAATCAGAAAAAGTCATAAGTCCTCACCCAAAACTACGCTCCATGAACGCCCCACAACAAACCCAGAATATAGTCCATGTTAAGCAAGGAATCTGAGGATCTCTTTCTATTAAAAAATATTCCAGTTCTTAAAAAAATATTAAGTCTGTTAAGAGACAAGTTCGAAGCACCATAGATATCGTTGGTCTTGTCTCACGACAAAATCTTAGAAGTGTATGGGTCAGACCCCAGGATAGCTGTGCCATCTCATTCCCAGGATTTTTCAGCTTAAAAGCTTTGGGAATTTAGAATAGTAACAAGAAACAGTTCTATGGATGTGCAGGTATAGCAATAGCTGACTTACCCATGAGCATTTAACTCAATCTCATATTTTAGAGGTACAACTAAAGTTAGCGTGTTATCCAGCAACATGTTCCCATCTTCATTTTTACTATAAAAATGCAATGAGAGAAAAATGAGTATCGAACGCATTATCATACACTATGTATTATTTCTACAAACAAAGATTAAACAGACCTTTTGGATTATTAAAACAAAAATATTTTTTTGGTAACAACATGTCAGGCAGTAAAAAAAAGAACATTTCATACAGGCTTGTTATTTAATACCTATTACCTGGTTTTTTTGCAAACCTGTAGAGAAAGGGAAATTACAACTGATGTGCTTTCTTGCAATTGTGCTTTGCTAAGTCTTTCCATTGTTCCCTATTCTGTTTTCCAAAGCTAGTAATATTTTTCATGGAGCAATTTTTATTAGACTTTACCAGGTAGCATTAATGATGATGTTGAGGTCATCTTCTGCTCTGGTAAATGAGCTTGCATCCAAGAGGAAACTAAAATCCAGCTGTAGAACAAAAAAAATTTTCTTTATATCAAATAAAATAAAAATATTTTATTAAACTCTTTTACAATTTCCTGCTCTAAAAAAACTCAGAACTAAGAAAATACTTGCTTTTTGTGTCTCCTACTCCCTTTCTATTGACCTAACACATTTGTTCATAGACTTAGTCAGCTCACTTGTCTAGGAAACCAAGCACAATCAGTTGATGCATAATACAAACAATGTTGTCCACTAATGAATTATTCCAGAGAGTGTTTAAGCAACCAGTTTTAAAAGTAGCAGAGAGATTCAGACCAACCTGATAAAAGACATTAGTTGGGAATGAAGGAGAGATTCTGAAAAACAAGGGGTTTTCCCCCCTGTGAAAATCCTTGTAACATATTTAGGGTGTTTTTAAAGCTAGGAACTTCATACATAGCTTACCTTTGACTTTTGATCTACATATAAATAACCAACGCCGCACTCAAGTTTCACTGTGTGAATTTCTTTATCTAATACATCACAATGTATCTGTTTTTCTTCCTAAAATAAAGGACAAATTATTAATGATTAAAACAAAACTGCTTTTTTTTCCGACATTTTAAATTACATGCACACACTGAAATTGGGTGGTTTATATTTCCCTGAACGAGGTGTTTGTTATTTCACTGATGCAGATATACAGAACATTCATGCTATTCATGACTACGTTAACATATCCTTATACTGATTACTGTAGCCTGTTACTTCATCTTCTGTTTGCTCCCAGTGAAGCAAAGGCTTCAGACCCAGACCCACTCAAGTTTAAAGCCAACCTCTGAAAGGTGTCAGGGGGATTCTACACAGACAGCAGTTATTTTAAAAAGGCAGAAAGAGAGAGCAATTAGATTTGTGACTTCTTCATAAGACTACGTATCTGTGAAAAAGAGCAGATTCAATGAGATCTTTGTGATCACTGAAAACATGATCATCAGACAAAAAGTAACAGTAACATCCTGAAATACATTTAGAAACTAATTTTTTTTATTTTTGGGGTGTGTGTAGGTTGTCAATATCTAAAGACACTCAACAAGCCATTAACATAACTTGAAAAATTCTGGCTGATGAAGAAAAATATCAAAGGATTACAGTTCGACAAATTTTTTTGTTCTTACCAATTCTAAAACTCGGATGAAATAAAGACCTTTAGGGATTTGAATGTGGAGGACAGTTTCATATGCATCATCTCCGACATTAAGCAGAGAAATGTTCAACAATAAAGTCTTCATACTTCCAACAGCAAGATATGTTTTCTTATCATGAGGCCTATAAAAAGTTATCATAATATAAGTGAAAAGTAATTCTATACACAGCTTGTATGCAAAAATTTTCTGCCACTGCTCTTTTAGTTAACTTCGTTTGGTTCTGACAGCTGAGATCATTAGGAAAGTTTTTACTCAGTCCTGTAAGCGAAGGTACTACATCGGTTATATGATGGTCAGCTCCAGTGCTGTATTTTTTAAGGCCTGAGGTTATTAATGCGAGAGCAAGAAAATTGTTATCAGACCAGTCATGCTTCTAGCTTTTACAAGACAGGTCCTTTCCTTTACAGGCAAGAATAGCAATGTGCTACTGCTACAGTATTTTCAGACATTATTTCAAAATTCACTCTTCGTACTCAAAAGTATAGGATTGAGTTAATACGAAACAGGTCACAAAGAGGGCAAGTGAACATGCCTATCTTGTGATCTATGTAATGTTCTATAATCATGTTACAAGTACAGACACCCTATGGGGGGGCTAAAAGTAAACTTCAGCTTGACATTAAAGTTTAATTAAGACTTGTAGAAAAGCTGCCTAGAAATAGACATTTATCAGATATTCTGGCTTGAAACCAAAGCATTAGTCACTGAACACCTTTGGGAAAGAAGCTGGCACTTCTAAAGGCAACAGAAGGTAAAAGCACTGCATAAGCAGATAGGTTCCAAGACAAAAGCGTAAAAGAAAAACACAATGCTAACATTTCAGTAGCTTGATTAAGTTTAGTTAAATTTTAAAGTTGTTTTACTAGTTATATCTTACTGTTCAGTCCTCTTATATGCGTTACAGCCAAGCTCATTAACAAGATGCTGTCACAAAGATGCCTCCCAGCTTAACACACAAGTACACAAAAGCACCAGGTGCACATCTGGGACTACAACAATGCTGAACTAGAGCTTTTCCCTGGTAATCATATTTCATTCTTCATTAAAAAATGCATTATGTGGACCAGAAATTTACAGAGCAGGCCAAAATCTAAGCAATTTAAACAAAACATGATAGTGTATACATGAAGACTCGTAACTCAGTAAGTAAAGCATTACTTTGACACCCCTATTTGATTTCATTCTTTTAAGACTAAAAGTGTTTGCTTTGCTGTTCAAGGATAATGAATGCATTCTGTCTAGACAAAATAAATTAACACTTCACAGCTAACTAGTTTTTAATCGAGATTCTAGGGAGACAATGTAATTTAAGGTGATACTTCACACTTTATCAAGATATTTAGCCTATTTATTTACACTGAAAATCTGCTACTGGTACCTAATGCCAAGCAGGTATGTTGTAATCTGTTTTCCTTTCTTAGAGCTTTGCAGTACTTACAAAACTGCATTGCTAATGTCACGAATGGAAATGCTGCACAATCTTTCTTTCTGAAAAGTTTATGATCGTTCAAATAAAATAACCTTCAAGCCTGAGAAAATGAAAGGGCTTAAGACTCATGCTACAGGCCACGCGTTAAAGTAGGCAGAAAGATACTAATCTTACTCTGAAATCTATGAAGATGAAAAAGCTTGTGCTTAGGATCACACAGGTGCGATTAATCAGCATTATGTGATTGTCATCATCTTTTGGTTGTTCAACCTAGTATCTCGATTAAAGTAGAATCAACTTTAAAAGTGATAAATTACACAAGAAAATCGAGGACACACACAAAAAATACACAATGAGATTCATTCTTTTCTTCAAAAAGAAAAAATTTCTCTTTTTGCACACCAACAACCCATATTTCTTGAAGTATAATATTCAATAAAGAAAGAGGTTGTGATAATAAAATATAACTTAAAATCAAATGATTAAAATCCATTCTGAATAGAAACGATGGTACATGGCTTAAAACTTTCCAAAGATGATGCTAAATAGAAGTGTATCTCACAAAGAATTGCTTGGTGTAATACAGATTCTGCAAGACAATAACAACTGTATTTAAATAGTTTGAAAGTGCATTAATCATCTTGCATAATAACAGGATTTAAACATGATACCTAATTGGAAGGAATGAGAAAAACTGAAACACACTAAAGGGTGTACAAAAAAATTAGGGATGCAAACGAAAAATCACAAAACAAAATTAATTTTGGAAAATGCAAGCTAATTCATTGGAAAAGAAGTCTAAACCTCACATAATAGTCAACCATCTGGTGTCTCAATCAGCAGTATAAAACTGAAGATGTAATATTCTTAAGTAAATGAGGAAAAAGAGCCACTTAATTATTTTATAATTGAAATAATAAATATAACAATGTCTTGGTACAAAACTGAAGTATCTTCTTTGTACAGTATCTTCATAAGAGCAGCAGAAATAATTGATAGCTTGCCAATTTAACAGCAGTTATGATGTCTACATATTGAGTATGCATTATGCACTGCATCTTAGCCGCCCAGTTATATATGAAGTGTAGAATACAAGTTTACCTTTTTGTGAAGAAGATATATTTTATGAGCTGTAAAGTCTTCTAATTATGCAAGAACAGTTCTTCAATTATATACTTTTCTGTTACATTTCCTGGAAAGATTTACGATTTAAAAATATTCTTCAACTAAACACAGCTTTACTCCTCATATTTTCTCAGGGAGTCCATAGTCTACTTTTGCAAATTAATGTTCTTTACATACAAAAGATTAAGGAATAATTTAGATAAAATCTTACTGAACCTCTTTCAAAAAAATGAAAGCCACATTATACTTACTTTGGAAAAGCAACTTTTCCAGAAACTCTCAAGTCAGCAGAACAATTTTCTTGGGAGCAAAATCTTGCGAAAACAAACTATAGAAGACAAATAAAAAAAAAAGCACTTTAGGATATCATGCATATTATAGTGAGTAAAAGTATTTCCAAACAAAAAACCCTATCACCTTGTTAGCAAGTATCTGGAATTGGCTAATAGCTCTTGCGCCTAAAAACAATTCAACCAGGCTATGATTTGCCATTTTCCAAACACATTCTGCGCACCCAGAATAACAACAGAGAGGCTTTCCAGGCTCAGACTCTCACAGTTAAAGCAGTGGGTTCAGCTGATTTTTTAAAAGCAGTACATAAAAAGGGCAGAGTGTTTTACAGGATCCAGAACTGAGGTCTCTGCAGTCTCTCCTATGATACAGCACATTAACTTCCACAAGAGAGTTTCATTACACAAACTTTACTTACCATACTGTTAGTAAGGTTTGATGAAACTAGAGACACCGTGAGTTGCATGTGTCCGTGCCTTGGTTATCAGTACGCTATAGAGCGTGACATTTATGTCACTATATTCAACAACACCCTGTTTCTCTCTAACTCTGTGGTTTCTAAAACAGAATTTTGAATGAAGATGAAAAGGAAAAGCATGCCATTTAAATGGAGCTTTTAAATATCTCAGAGTTCTGATAGTCAACTGTACCTGAATTACATGAAACTTACTGTTTGTGAAGAGTCGTAATATGATCATTTGGTAGCTAAAAATTCAGAGCATCCTGAACTTTTGCTTAAGTCAGAGTAAAAGTCTATTAACTCTTAATAAGTTTTTTTGTGGAAAAAAGTTAATTTCATACTCACTTAAGGATACAGAATTTCTCTTCCCCCCCCACCCCCGACTTTGTGTTTGAAAACCTGCAATACCTTCACAGAACCAGTACTTCAGCAACATTGTTGAAACACTTCAAGATTAATACCAACACGATATTGTTTTAATGCAGAATTAATTTTAAGGAACAATTCTATACTGGAAAGTGACTCATCCTGTGTAGCTGAAAAAGAATGAATATTTCAAAGAATGAATTTCGTACCTGTATGTTCCGAGGTATATAATATTATATATTCTTGCAAGTTCTCTGCTCATACCTCTTTTTTTTTTTTTTTTAAAATCATAATACAAATTGTATACCAGTTCTGCAAAGATTTTTTTTTTTTTTTTTTTAGCAAAAAATTAGGCATTTTTTAGCATGCTGGTTTACTCATTAAGATCAAGGGACTAGGTGCTGGTCTGGAAAATGCAGTCCTTCGCACGCTATGGATGCGTGAAGCTTTTTTTAACTGGAGATTAAAACGTGAATATTTACTTAATGCATTTGAAAAAAGAGAACTCATACACTAACCTTGCTTTTTATAACATCTTTTTCTTTCCTCCGTTGAAGAACGGGTTGAAGTGGTGAAAATTCTTGAGCATTTCTTTTCTGTAGAATATGGTGCCCCAGATGATAACTTGCTTCAACATGTACAGGAGTCAAGATATCCCTTACATCTTTCTATGAAAATTGGAAACCTAATGAGTTAATCATATAAGACAAGACATGTATGCTTATGTTTTAAAGATTATAAGGTTCCCTAGAACTAACTTAAACAGGAACACTTATTTTTTACATGTAAAATAATTTCTTATGCCATATGGCTCATATACTTCTCCAGACATCTTTGTCGCTGAAGAGGTAATCAGAAAAGCAGAAAAGCATAATACATTCAATGACAGCATTAGGAATTTCAGAATGGAAGATTCTTTTAATAAAAGAAGTCTTATTGAATAGTGAACCTATTTCTGTCAATAATACTGCCTTGCACACCTGTGTGCAATGCTGTACTGCCCAAATAGAAAAATAGGCAAAAGTTGGCTAAAACGGAGAAAGTTAACAGTGGGATAATGCCAGACAAAACCCATGGACATTTCTGTATGCAATCAAAAGGAGTTCTCCCACAGTACCACTAAATCAGGTCATGACTGCATTTTATTCTTCTGCCTCTTTATTTCCTATTCTGTATTAAAAAGATTAAACTCCTCAATAAATGACCATTTTGTCCATGAAGCCTTGACTGTGTAGGAATATTGCAGATCAGAGCCCAAACTACCTACTTGTGAAAACAACAGCTTGAAGCACTGAGTACTAACAATAGCAAACTTGATTAAATTACTCCCTAAGTGTAGGAGATAGACAGACACTGATTGTCCCTCCACATGGCCACTACGTGAATTCTTATCTGCAAGCTTGCTTTGGCCAAATCACATACTATCTAATTCATAATAATTTTCCACAAGGTCTTCTCTGCATCTGTTTTATATTACTTCCATTATACTAATTAGCTATTAATTAGTCTTTACTCAAAATACATAAAACGTACATCATCTCCTGCAAGGACTGTACTTGACAGACATTCACACTTACTTAACTTTAGGAGCTTCATACAAGTACAGAAACCTCAGCGGGTGGAAGGAGATGCTTATAATGCTATTAATTAAGAATAAAAAGAAAATTGAATTATATGGAGGAAAAAATACTAATGATAGACTATAGGAAGTGATGAGCCAAATCATATCCTTCCTCCTACACAAATACCTGCAGATGCTGGTACAGCAATCTGTACAAGGTCGGCTGTCAGTCAGATCTCTCTTGGCTTACAAAACTCCTATAAGTAAGAGGCAATTTGTCGTTGCTCTTGTAAGTAACATTCACTGAGGTGCAACTACCAGTTGAGATGCATCTGGGCAATTTTCCAGTAGATAACATAAGCTTTCCTTTCCACCCTGAAGCTTTATCGTGAAGAAGTGGCTTCTAATGGTGTTATAAACAAAAAATAAGTAAAAGGAAGGAAGAAGAAAAATACATGGAAGACTTTTTCCCTGCAGGTTTTTTTGTAGCTGTAGAAAATTAACTCTATCTCCCAGCCTCTGTGCAGGATCAACTGCACCAGTCATCCTAATAGATATTTGTTTCAAAAGGTCACGGAATTGCTACCTTGAGGATTTTAAAGAAAAGACTATGCAAACTAGTCCATTATTTTATTACCCTTGTTTCCCCTTACATCTAAATATTCCCTGTCCTTGGTATTTCTTTAAAGAATTCTTTTCCCCCTTAGATAAGGCCTTACAGGAGATAAGTCTATTTTTTCCTGAGTTTAATAAAACATGGTTCCTCTGTGTCCGCTAGTTTTTATTGTTTGATTGTGGTTTAGGACTTCAAGTTCTTCCCATTTATCCTCCAAAATTTTTGTTGGAATAGGCAAGCTTCTAAGATGTTTGAGAGACTGAATCACTTTTATTATTTCTTGTCCAGTGAATGGCCTTAAAAATATTATATCCTTGTCCTGATTGCAGTTGTGTTTACTTTCAAGACAGATCCCTCATTCATCCTTCAGAGGGATACATCAAGCATGAATAGGACAGTTCATTTCCTCCAGGGCAACAGTGACTTTGAGACTACTATTGCAGTTAGGATCTTACTGACTAGATTCTTACTAACTTATTTCCAAGCCAGTACCATCCTCAATTTCAAAGGATGGTTGCTGTTGGATCAAACTCTACTTCTGGAGAAACCAACAGCCATCTTCCTCCTGCTGAGTAGCTGGTACCATCTCTAATATTGGTGTTGGTACAGGCCTCCCTGGCTAGCTGACACC